TAAAGTCTCCTAGGTAGTGGCGCTCACCGGGCTGGAGGCTGGAAGATCCGTCTCGGCAATTTCCTGCTCCCAGCAAATGGGAAGATCCGTCTCGGACCTTGGATTTAAAGTCTCCTAGGTAGTGGCGCTCACCGGGCTGGAGGCTGGAAGATCCGTCTCGGCAATTTCTTGCCCCCAGGAGAGGCGCTCACCGGGCTGGAGGTGGGAAGATCCGTCTCGGGGATCCTTTTCGGCTAGAGGGAGGAAAATGAATTCCCAAAAGGCACTCGCCTGCGAAAATGATCCGCGCCCGGGAGGAATCGAGCCTGCGGCCTCCTGGCTTCGGAGCTGCAGAGCCTCTACCAATTGAGCTATGGACCCTTACTAGTCAAGCACGGAGACTCCCGTGCCAGAGAGCGTCACCAGCTGATAGGCTATCAGGTGGATGAACACGTCCGTCATCGTGCCGTCGAGCGCCTTGAAGGTGAACCGAGCCAGGTCGCCCGAGCGGGTGCTGACACCACTGCCGTCAGGATCCAAAGCTCGCCTAAGGACAGCTGAATCACGCCACGAGAGCTGTGTCAACAAGAACGCTGTCGTTTCTCTACGACAGCTGTCGTGTGGCAAGGACAGCTGTCGTGAAGCATATAACGCTGCCGTTCGCGGGCAAACGCTGTCGATTCACCACGACAGCGTTCAGCAACGCACGACAGCGTGTAGAAGGGCGCAGATGCGACAACGCTCATTGCACAAGGGGCCGCGTTGAGTTGCAAATGGCTAAGAACATTTCCATGGCTTGCAAGGAAACAATTTCGATACGCCGCGGCTCATTCATCGTTTAAAGGAACGCGATCGTGGTGAAGCGACAGCGTTCATCAACGAGCGGCAGCGTAGATGTTGCACCGACATGCAGCGGGCGCAGCGATGTCGTTTGTAGTGAAACGCTCTCGACGCGCTGCGACCTATTGCGCGAATGGCCTCTTTGTCATGCATGGCCAAGAACATTTTCCATGGCTTGCAAGGACACGCCGTCGATACGCCGCGGCGCACATGCATCGTTTGCAAAGAACGCTGTCGGCTCACCTCGACAGCGTCCGTCGGGCGATGGCAAGCCACGCAGCGGAGAGTGACAACTTTGCAGGTTGAGCCTGTTGCTCTTCGCAAGTGCGAACTGAGCCAGGGGAGAGTGACAACTTTGCAAGTTGAGCCCGTGTTTCTTTTCGCTGCGTAGCAAGGCAGAGCCAAGCGCAGATCTGCAGACCAGCTTGAGCCAAAAAAATGAGGGCTTCCACAAAAGTATTTCAAAAACCCTACTGTAGTCCTGCCATGTGCTATACATATATGCATAAACACACATGCGCAAATAAGCCTATATACCTGATCACGCACGGACATCAGGTGGAGTAAGAAACGAACAAGTTGCTGTGTGTTGTGGTGCGTTCGGTTTTGTGTGTCCACATGTGAAGCAAGCCACCACGCGTTGCGGTGCGATTGACTTCTTCATGAGCAGCGCGCGTGCTTCGGTTTGTAAGCGCGCGTCGGGGTGTGGGTGCGTCTGCGCCCGCGTCGCCGCACCAGGTTTGTCTGCGCCGGCACGCGTGTGTGTCTGCTTGTCTCCGCGTTCCGTTTGTGTGTGCATGTGGGCGCGCGCGCGCTCTCGCGTCTGCTACGCGCGCGCCTTATAAGCATGTGTCTGCGCACGTGCGCCGCGTGCATCTTTGCGCATGTGTCGCGCTTGCACGCGCTGCGCATGACTATGTCTCGCCGCGTGCGTCTGTTCTTGTGGCCGGGTGGGTCTGAGCTTGCGCTACCCCTTATTTGTCTGCAGGGCTTGGGACCCGGGGATGGGTGATGACAACACAAAACTTTTGTTTCGGCGTCTTTACTCAGAAAGGGTCGAAAAATAATCAGTAGCGACGTTCGAAGAGTGTAGAGACCCAACCCTTGTTTTGCAAAATCGGGTGTAAGAAAGAAAGGCCCCCAAACCAGGTAACCTGCACGTTAGTCAAATAAGATGGTCACAAAAGCTGCCCCAGAAACAGAGCGATGAGACATTGGACATTGAGTTCAACTGCGCTGGCCTTTTCTGCTTTCAGGCTTGCCAACCAAAGAAACCTAGACTCAGGGAAAGGGGCCTCTTTACTTTTTTCACACTACACTCTGAAAAGGTAGCCACCCAACACGCAAGCAAAGCCGCAGCTGCGACGCTTTGGGCGTCAAACGTTCAGGACTGACGCTCGGCAGCAAAGATGTTTTTCAAGGGCTGTTTGGGCAGGCCATGCGCCGACCCCGTTCGAAGCGCAAGCCTAAGAATAGAAAATATCGCTGATAAGTGCGCTCAAGCACCGTAGCCGAATGACACCGCACAGCGATGTGCTTGAGGTATCCTAGAAAGGATTCATCTTGAAAGCAAGATGTTGTCAGACGAGCATTAAGGCGTGTGCGTTTTGCATCTTGCCCTATGTGCAATAGCATATGGTGTTTCGGCCGCAGCAAAAAGAGGCGTTTGCCTTCCTGTACACAAAAGGCAGCCAGCCACTGCCAGCACTGCAAGTGGGTCACGATAGAGTTGTGCACTTCCTGCGCAACCGCGATTGTTTGTTTTTTGACTTGGACAAGCAAGCATGTCCTCAGCGTCTCTTTGCGGGAGCAAAATGTCGTTGCGGTCCAGTAGGTGCAAAGCCCGGTACAAGCTCCAGCAGCAGCAAGCTATCAATTCCAGAGGGGTGTCCTAGACGCTCATGTCAGGGGTGTTGCGATTCTGAAAAAAAACACATGCGACAAAAAGAAACAGCTTAGGGTTGCACCCGAGGTGAGGCCTCTGCGAACTCAGTTGCTTTCTTCGAAATGTACCACAAGTAGCATTTGATGTTGGCAGCTTTGAACGCACTCCCCAACTCCGGGAACTGGGACGGCTTGTCGAGCCCAGTGTTCGCAGGAGTGAATCGTTGGAAAGGAACGCGCATGCCCTGGGATTTCAAGGCTCGCTTCATGGCCACACTGAACTTGGACAATTTCTCAGCTAGGTCACTGCCCGCCAATATGTCTCGGGAAATCCATAGGCCCAACACGCTGCTAATGAGCAGCTTTGCAGTTCCTAAATAAATTGTATGCATCGGGTCACGAAAAACGGTCCCAAGTGCCACCCTGGCATAATAGCCCATGGGCTCACCCTTGGCGATGACCGGAGATACTCCTCATTACCTCAGCGGCTTTGCCCGACTGCACCAACCTGCCCGTTTGCCCAAGTCCCTGACTGATGGTAGTGTTGAGGTACGGCGCGTCGTCATAAAAATCTTTGTAGTCCATCGAAGGGTCCCAATCTTTATGCTGCTTGGCGGCGCCACAAGATTCACAAATTTTGGCATGCTGGTAGGAACGGGAAAAATAATTGCACTGTAAACGTGCTTTGGCATCAGCTTTCATCCCAAAATAGGCCATTCTCCATCCGTTGGCAATGACGGTTCCTGCCAGATCACCCCGTGCCAGATGACCCCGTTCACCGGATAGGCCCTCGCCCAAAGCACCAACGCTTGGAAACACCCCAAGAGATGCCTGAGACATTGACCACGCCAGCACCCGTGCCACCGTCTCGTGCACATCATCCCTGACCTGCAGCTAAGGGCATCGCGGCAAACCTCCCCAACAGCAAGGTGTACTTCGACAAGTTCAAGCATGCAACTTGGTGCGCGTGGCGCCTTGGCGTCAACCATGGCTGAGTGGGGGATTATGCAGCAAGGAAACTTGGTGTCCCACACCTAAGCTACACCCCAAGCACACACAAGGTTCAAGACTGCCAAGCAAAAGGTGTATTTAATGTAGGCCAGACGCTGACCCTTTTCCAAACACTGAAGCCATGCTCCAAACCAGGTATTCGCAGTTGCTGTAGAACTCAGCACCATCCAGATGCAGCAGACAAGGGATCAAACCTAGGCAGAATGACAAAGGGTGCCCATCAAAGGGTGTAGGTACCAAATAAAATTACTATCGGACAAGAAACGTTTCCGGTCAATAGGAGTAGGGTCCATCAGCACTTCGTGTTGCGACCACTCATCAAAGCAACTGCAGTGATCCCAAAAGTTCTTCAAGTCGTCTTCCGACCGGTTGCCGAGCATGGACAGCGAAAACTGGCAGGGGAAAGCCACGTTTTGTGTGAGAGATAAACTGCGAACTGTGGACACATGCGCCTGGTACTCCCCGGCCATAGCCACGTGATGTAGGATTTCATGAGGGAGCACGAAGGGGACTGACACGTCTTGAAGTCCAGCTTTGCCAGGAACCTCAAGGACAGAAAGCTATTTGCCCTTGTGTGCCCCAGAGAACAAGCAAAATCGCCAATTGCATCCTAGGCGCGTGAAGCTTTATAGCTACCCTATAGGGAGCCAACTGGAAACCATGTATGTGCCGCAACCACCGGTGTAGGTCACGCTCTTGGTTGCTTTCGCATGACCCGTGGGCCCCCAAACTTCCAAAGGCCACCAAAGCGGGGTTCTGCATGTTGTCTTTCAGGTTTGCCCTTGCCAACGTGGCGCACTCTGCGATAGTAGAGCGACCAGATCCAATCATGCCTAAGAATCGGGTGGAAGTGAAACAGGACCGTGGGACAAGCGTTTGCTGGCTAATGCCATGTAAGCGGCTGATGTACTCTTCAGCAGTGTTGCAGTGAGGCAAGGACTCGTAGGGGGCCCGTCTCTCCGGCATCCTGGAAAGCAGTCAAAATCACTAAAGTAGGAGGCTTGCAAGTCACCACTGCCTGCGTGCATGATGGTCACGAGGAGGAAGTTGTTTGGGAGAACCTGCAACAAGGGACAGGAAGTTTGGCAGTTACAGTTGAGTCAGAGCAAATGCATCATGTTTCCAAAACTCGGGCCCCTGTGAGACTTTTTCCGAGAAAGCGGTAGATGCGGCTGTTGCCATCTAATGTCCAATAACCCCCAAGAGCAATCACACTCACAGGCGTCCAGTCGTTGAGAAACCGAGGAACATATGATGATGAACAAGCATAAGTTAGCAATTGGTTCCCGTGTTCAGATTGCCTTTCCCCCATAACTGCAGCCAGCATTTTGCTGGCACAGCTGTAAGAAACCGCGCGCCCTAGGAACTACGCGGCAGGCTCTGCAGAGGACTTCTCACCCCCAGAAGCTTTGGCCGACTTCGCAGACTTTGGCGCCTTGGCCTTTTTTTCTTTCAGGCCTCGTTGGAGGGCTTGAGCAGCAGCCTGCGCCATGACGAGTGTTTGGCAAAGAGTTGTGTTTACACCTGATTTGCCAGCCCTGCCTTAGCCTTGTTGTTGAACCACTCCAACTTCCCTTCGATCCTCTTCAAGGTTGCCTGGTACTTTGACTCGTCATTCACCTTCGACAGCACGAGCGGCTGCAGCTCAGAATAGAGTTGCTCCATTTTCACTGAGAAGTCCATCAGCTCTGAAACCAATGCCCCCCCATACTCGACGTGCCCAAGGGAGATTGCGTGTTTCCTGGCTTCCCCAGCAGCTTTCAGCGTCATCTCCAGCTTTTCCTGGCCACACCTTGGCTTGGAAAGAGGATGTGACATATACAGATTTATATAACTAAAGGTTCAAGATCAGAAGTTTGCAAGGGAATCCGACACAGCGAAACGAGACAATCGTGCAGAAACGTGAGGCCCCGGCTCCCAAACCTCTTTTGGCTTTAGGACTTCGGGCTCTTTGTTTGCTTTGATCGGCTTCGGCTTCGTCACTGGGTTCACCGGCGTCAATGCGCTCAACAGGGCTTTCTGGTTCTGAGCATCAACAGCAGGCATGTTGCCTGGCCCCAACATCCCCCCTTCTTCCAGCAAGACGTTGGCCAACTCCGCATTGCCGCTGTCCCTGATGGTGGCTTCAGCGGACTCTTCGCAATCAGTCCAATGTTGGATCTTTTTGGGGTCCCTGACGTAGACGTACATTTCCTGCAAGACAGAACTTGACTACTCAACACCCCCCTCACGTTTGGAACGTCTTCGAAAACAATTCGGGTCTGTGTCAAATATGGGGGCCGGGCTTCAATAAAACGCGCCAACTTCACATCACTCCTCGGTGTCGCCCTCAAAATCCTCATCCCAGTACCACAGCCCGTTCTCTTTTCTTTTTCGGACCAGTTGATCTGCTTTCCTCGGGCGAGATCAAAGTGGAACGGTTTGGGAGGGGGGCTTAAATACATGAAAGGACAAGAGTGTTAATCATCCCCTGCAAAAATGAAGAACGTTTTACAGTTCAGGGCTTCCGTGGTTCCACCCCCGGAAAAGAATGGTCAAGGAAAGCACGGTCAAGGGTTTGGGGGATACCTAGTCGCAACCCCACACACGCACAAAAAATGGCAAGGTTTTGGGGGAGGAATTGGGGGGTCACACAATCGGAGAGGGCTTGGATGATCGCACCCTGTAAAAAGGGGGGGGGTTACCTGTTCGCTCGCAGAAGCTGCGCGTGGAAACCCTCCAAATTTCTGGGAATTTTTGGGGGTTCCGTTGCGCCACACAAGGCCCCCAAATGGGTTTCCGTGGCCGCGGGCCTTGCAACCGGGACCTTAACCCTGCAAAATTCAGGGGTTGCAACCCCAGAAAAAATGGGAACAAAGGCGGCAACATGTGTTTCGAAACAAGTGTGCAGCCCAGCTGCTCCGCTGGATACTGGGTTTTCAAGTCCCGCACCTTGACCGCCACAAGGCCGGCGAGGCTCCTGGTGGTCGTCGCGACCCTCCGCTTGAAGCTGATTTCCACCCTTGGCTTCTCGGCCAAAATCAGCGAATCGCACAAACATAAAGAAGGGTGTTTGGTATCTTGTTGCAGCCGGGCTTCTTGCTCCAGTCTTCTGATTGGCGTAGCCATTCGTTGAACAAATCAACTTTATCTTTTGCGTACACCGGCGCTAGCGCTTGTGGAAACACGGATCGGTTGCAGCATTGCCTGCTAAAGCGATCCCAGTGCTTTTTGTGGCTTTTTGAGTTTGCACGCACAAGCTGGGTTGCCTGCTCGGAGGCAGCCACGACCTCTGCTGCTGCCTTTTTTGACGTTGTTTCCTGCACGGCTGGCTCTGACTCAGCCAGCTCACTGTCGGTGCTTTCGCCTTCCTCTTGCTCCTGCAGCTCTTCTTCCTGCAACGCTGCCTCGCTCTCCGCTGCCTCGTTTTCCGTTGTTTCTGCCTCGTTTTCCGCGTCAAACGCTGCTTCCTGTTCTTCTTCGGTTTCCTCACCATCTCCTGCTTCGCTGCTGCCAGCATCGAGCTCAGCAGCGATGTCCTCATCATCGCTGCCTTCACCGCCTTTGGCTGCCTCCTCTTGCTCCTCATCTTCCTTCGCGTCTCCTCCACCTTCCTTATCATCTCCTTCATCTTTCTCCTCTTCACTCTCATCACTCATCCCTCCAAGGCTCAGCGACTCGCTAGGAGGAAGCCCCAGTTCCTCCTCCAAAGCATCACTCAAAGCCTTGGCCGACAGCTTCCCCATGTAATCTTCCACAGACATCCCTGCCTGCTTGGCGTCCTCCAGCGTCTTTCTCATTTTGTCAATGTCCGCCAGCGCGCTTGAGGAGGCGGATGCCTCTGAAGGGACTGGGGTCTCCCGGCTCCTTTTGGGTGGCGGGGTCAAGGCCGCTGAAAGCTTTGAGATCTTCTCGCCTGTCCTTGTCGAAGCTGGGTCTGCCCGCGAGCTCCGCTCAGGGGTGATGAGGTCAACACTCGCTGCTCCTGCTGCCATCTTCTTCTTCTTCTCGCAAGCTTCCAGCGCTGCCTCCGCTGCTCTTCTCCCCCTTCCTGCCAATTCCTCAGCCTCCTCAACTTCCTTCTTCTCCTCAGCTTCCTCTGTTGTCTTCTGCTGCTGAGCAACCTCCTTAGCCTTCTTCTTCTTCTCCTTATCGGCTGCCTCTGCCCGTGCTTTCCTCTCCTCCTCAGCCTCCTTCGCTCTCTTCTGCTCCTCAGCAACCTCCTTAGCTTTCTTCTTCTTCCTCTTCTTCTCCTCAGCTGCCTCTCCTTGCGCTTTCTTCTCCTCCTCAGCCTCCTTTGCCCTCTTCTTCTCCTCAACCTCCTTAGCTTTCTTCAGCTCCTCAGCCTCCTTAGCTTTCTCCTGCTCCTCAGCAACCTCCTTAGCTTTCTTCCGCTCCTCAGCCTCCTTAGCTCTCTTCTTCTCCTCAACCATCTTTGCCTTCTTCTGCTCCTCAGCCTCCTTGGCTTCCTTAGCTTTCTTCTGATCCTCCGCCCCCTTAGCTTTCTTCTTCTCCTCAACCTTCTTCGCCTTCTTCTGCTCCTCAGCCTCCTTAGCTTTCTTCTGCTCCTCTGCTTCCTTAGCTTTCTTCTTCTCCTCAACCTCCTTAGCTTTCTTCTGCTCCTCTGCTTCCTTAGCTTTCTTCTTCTCCTCAACCTTCTTCGCCTTCTTCTGCTCCTCAGCCTCCTTGGATTTCTTCTGCTCCTGCGCCTTTGCTTTCTTCTGCTCCTCAGCCTCCTTTGCTTTCTTCTTCTCTTCGGCGCACTTTGCCTTCTTCTCCTCGGCCTCCTTGGCTGCTGCTTTGCTTCCCTGCGCATGCTGCGGAGCGCCCTTCTCTTCGGCCTCTTCTGCTTTCTTCTCTTCTTGGCCCTCCTTCGCATCCTTCGCCTTCTTCTTCTTCCCGTCCTTCACCTTGCGCCGCTCCTCATCTTGCTTCTGCTCTTCACCTCCTTTCGCTCCCTTCTTCTCCTCAACAGCCTTCTTCTGCTCCAGCTCCTTTGCTGCTGCTTGCTTCCTCTCCTCAGCCTCTGGGATCCTGTTCTTCTTTTTTGGCTCACTTTTTGCAACCTCAGCTTTTCTTTTTTTGTCCTCTGCCTCTTGTTGGCTGTTCTTCTGCTTCTTGTTCTCCTTCTGCGCCCCCACCTCCTCCAAATGTCGCTTTGTTCGGGCGGTTGGGCTGGTTGATGAAGAAGCTGGAGAGCTTTTGCCACGCACCCTGTGCTCAGGCTGCTCAGCGGCAGCCGGCATTGGCGGAGTCTTGGCAGGCCTATCGAGAGCAACTTTGTACTTCTCCCAAAAGGCCGTCTTGTCCTTTTTGCGGGGGTCCGTCATCCTAGGGCACCACGCCTCAAAGAGCCAAGAAGGGCTGAGTGCGGACCCCGGTAACGATTGACGAGGCAATCTCTGAACCCACACAGTATCCTTTGCTATGGAGAATAGGAAGATTCAACAAGATTAGATGTGGGCTTTTTTGTTTGGCCAAGACACCCACCAAAACTGGGTTTGGTTTCTCAGCATCAGCAAACTCTGGCGGGCTCGTTTGGCCGGCAAAAAGAGCCACCGCGCAGGCTAAATGAGCCTGCCCCTTCCTTGAATCAGCATCGCCAGCATCAGAAACTCATCCGCAGATTCAACAAGGTCAGACGTGGGCCTTTTTTTGGTCAAGAAACTAATTTGAAGATTGATCAAGGTTCGATGTGGGCTTTTCGGCCGTGAAACTCATTTGAAGATCCAAGCGGGCTCCACCACAACAATATGTTTGAAGGGAATCCCCACCAAGACAGATCCAGGGCCAAGGGTTATCCAGGGCCAAGGGTTTTCGTCAAAAGTTTTCGGTGTTCTTTGCATTAGAAACAAAAACAACGCGTGCAAATTGATTGACTTTTTGGGGGGGATACAAGTCGCGGCTGTTCTCTCCAGGTCGCGGCTGAGTTCCCTACAGGTCGCGGCTGCGAAAATACGAAACCAGTTTAAAACAAACGAGAAAACACGCCGTGTCGCCTGGTCCATGATGTTTCAGCACGAAGCGAGGCATACCTGCAACAATGCCAGTCGAGCTGAGGACGTGAGGACTTGGGCAACTGTGGCCTTGGGCACTCCTGGATGACCACGAGGCCTGCCGGGCAGGATAATTGACAATCGTTGGGAACAAACATGGAGGAGCTGATGGAAATAACTGACAGCAAGCTCTTTCCCTTTTTCCCCTGAGCTCCATCGCACCAGCCATTTGTCAAGGCCTATGCGAATCATGAATTTACGAGTCCCAGCGCGAAACTTGCGAAACTGGGGTGACATTACCCTACCGATAGCGAGGATTCTCATCGAGGTGGCACCCAGACAAGTTATACCAGATATCACCCATGAGTCAAAAAGTCAAGCACCGGCCTCAAATTAGCCTGCTTGATCCATGACGCACTTGCACGGTGATTACTTGGAATGCTCTTCGCGGCTTTCAAATTGCGCCGAATTGTGCGCTTGGCCTCACGCCGGATTTGATCGGCATGTCGGGTTCGGACTTTTGCGAGCGCCACCCCAAACCTGGGCACAGGACCGAGGCCAACCCTGTCGTGGCAGTGTTTGGGCAAACGCATGTGACTTGGCGGCAATCAACTTAGCGGAGGGCCATGGAGGGTACGACTGGCTTTGTTTGAGGTGTGCTCCCCCTTTGATCCGCAAAACACCTCGCCCGTCCACGTATCTTTCCACCATGCGGGTGGATGGGTCAGCAGAAGAGGGCTGCTCGAAGTCAAGGATGTCGGCAATCTCTGGTCGATCTGGGGACACATGTTTCAAGCAATGTTCAACTGACTTTAGCAGGAAACCCTAAACATTTACAAGGTTGGTGGGACCAGTAGGCAGACCAATGTTGAACACCGTGCCCAAAAACAGTAAACCAGTTCACGCGACTTCTGTGTAAGCCAATTGTTCTGTGTGATGTGTGTAAAGAGGATGACCCTGAAAGCATAGAGTTCGCGCAGAACAAGCGCCGGGCTTTGGATTGACTTTCAGCCGAATTTTAAGGGGTCAACCGCAACATGAGGCCAAGTTACTGCTGTACAGCCACGTGGGCTTTTGGCTCGGAGCACCATAATTGCCCATCCTGACGTGCTGGCGGACGATGTTGCTCATGCGGGCCCACTCCTCAAACTTGGGGTGACGTTCCATCAATGATCCCTTCGGCTGTTCCAGGACTACCCAGGCAGAAACAGACATTGCGATCATGAGTACGATCAGGGTCCGACAAAGGAGCTGGTTCCCGTCTTTGACAAAGCCAACTGATTCATCACCGCACGGCCGCAGCGCCGAACGCATGCTTGTTCCGCGACTCCTAGATTTGCAGATCACAAACACTGAAGTAACAGGTCGCAGAAAGATGCTACAAGGGTTCGAGTGACTTACCAATCGACAGAGTGACTTACCAATCGAAAACGAACCAGCTTTAGGTCAGGATGCAAGTATACAAAGCTGCTGCAAACAGGGGCAGCTAGGCTGCCGGAGCCAATCTCCAAGCGCGCCGCCTGATAACAGGCGTGCAGGAATCCCTGGCTCGTAAGCAGGTTCATTCCAACATCGTCATAGCGGATGTCGTAGGCCACGGCCTTCCTGCTCTCCTGGCGCAATTCGCAAATGTTTGGCCAGCAATTGCTAATTGCTAAGGACACCATATAAACGGTTATCTAAGTTCTCTAGGGGGGGCTCCGTCTTTTACACAAGGGGCTTTTCAGTGTTGGTGGCTCAAGATTGCACAGAGCTTGGCACGCCTCAGTGTTATCACTTTGAAACAACTTGAGCTTGCTTGTGAGAAACAAAGCCTCATTCTAGGACAAAGGAAATTTGTTTGGTTCGCAAAAGAGTAAGAGAAAGAGAAAGAGAAAGAGAGAGAGAAAGAGAGAGAGAGAGAGATACCTATCCTTAATCTCGCCGAGGGTGACACTCATGTCTCCAGCGAAGCTCTCAAAGTGTTGGATAGTGTCGCTGGGGTCGAACTTGAACTGCTTGTCAGCGAAGATCATGCTAACGATCA